GTTAACTGCAGCTTTGGTGCTCTCAGAAAAGCTTCGCCAAAGATAAAAACGTTTGCCTTTGCCGCTCTATCAACGCACGTTGTTATTGCCATTATTGCCGTCTCTTTCTGTTAAACTCGCGCGATTTGTTTGCCGCGGAGAGCGAACCTCAACATTTATGACGTAGTTGAATAAGTCTTTTTTTTTTTATCTGCGAGATTTGTGGTGCTCTCGCGTATTGTTGATGTTTGGATAACTAACCTCAGACGCTTGCGACGTTCCGCAATGTCGCCATTTTGGCAGACATCGCTTTGCATTTTCTGCGGGAATTCATCGCCCGCTTCGCCCGCTTCGATGGCCTCCTTCTCATCAATTTCGTCGCCCACCTGTTAAATGTAAACATTTATTAGATATATTCAGGAACTTTATGTGTATGAGATTAAGGTATTACCAGAAAACTGGGGCGTTCGCCGTCCGTAGGCGCGGACTGTGTTGTTTCCGCGCTTGTCGTTGCCTCCTGTTCGCTCATTTTGTTGTTGTATTTAACGTCAATGTTGTTGTTGTTGTTGTTATTGTTATTAAAATTACTCAAATCTGTTAAAACGCTCTCCTTTAACTGCTCGCAGAGGCCATCAACATCCGACTTGAGGCTCTCGCTGGAGAATTTCACCTTTTTAATGCAAGACTTCGGAAACCGTTGCTTCTGCTGCTGGTCGCTGCCTTTTGTTGTTGTACTTATCGCTGACGATGTTGTTGCTGTAGCCGCAATTACGCTGGAGTTGTCTGCGTGCGAGAGAGACAGAAAGAGAGAGAGAGACAAACGAATCCCAATTAGAATAAATCGTACAAAGCTCAAGTTCATTGTTAAGTGCGTGTTAAATTGAGCCCATGTCCATGTTAAGCTTTAATTGGTTTACAAAACAAATAGTACGCTGCGAAAGATTCTTACTATTGTTATTGTTGTTGTTGTTGTTTGTCGTGTTGTTGTTGTTGTTGTTGTTAGTCGGAATTGCTGTTATTATTTGTCTTTCGCGGTCGCGCAAGCGACCAAAGAGCAAATTCAATAGGTAAGCAACAAACGCCAGAGTGATTAGGAATGCGATAAACATCGGCTACTCATCCACAAAAAAATAGGCTAAAAAATTGATAATATCGCTAACACATATATAAGATCTCATAACATGTACTTTTTTTGCTGTTGTTATTTTTGATATTTTTAAATATATGTAGGGCAGCAGGGCAACTGAGTTCAAGAGGTTAAAGTCATTAATATTTATTGAATATTGCGTACGAATTTGCGTGCCAAAGATGGAGGCAACAAAAAATCATTTAATTAAAATGCATAATTACGTTAAACTAGTTTCTTATCCAAATATTTGGCATAAACATAAAAAACTACATAAACTTCAGCGAATCTTTAATACTCTTATCAGCTGTAAAAATCAGCGTACTGAGCTTATATAACAAATTCAAGCATTTATTTCATAACAAGAACTTAAATGTTTAGCTTGAGTGCTTTGTTCTTTATTTAGAATTCAACTTGATAAGACAAAACAACATTCGATATTTAGATATAATAGACTACGACACCTTCTGGTTGCTTTAGGATTTGTAGTATGATACTTTAATTTGATTAATTATTATGCAACACATATTATATGACAATCTGTTTCAGAACAATATTCAACTGATAAGCTCAGGCATACACTAATATTATTTTGATAAGCAAATATTTTGGGAAAGGTCTCTTGCGCGAATAACCTTAGGCACGGTTTGAAAGAAAAACCCATGAGGTTTTAGATTTGATTCATATTTTTTTCAAAATTTTCCAAAAAAATATACTCTGTCTACAAATATATATATATATATCTGCAGGCTAGAATGTCCGGCTAAGCCAGCTGTTAGTTAGTAGAGATTTCACTGTACTTCCTAAATTATGCTGCTAGGCCTGTATTTTACCTTAAATTGGGTTTAGATTTAAATATTAACTATTAAATACAATTTGTACCTAGTTCGGTTAATTATGTAGTTAACAATTGATTTTTTTTTGTATCCAATAAGACTAGATGCTGCCCTTCCCTTGCAAAAAGGAGCCAAAATTAAATGAGATTTTCTTTTTGGATTTTCCACTGTGCACTTAATTTTAAAACAAATTTAAAACAAAACAAAGAAAAGAAACATTCAAAAGTTAAAAAACCTTTAAAAATACCAGAGGTTGCTTTGTGGCTATGCAAATGTGACTTTGTATATAGAAGAGGTCGATGATTTAACCATTACAATATGTAAGTGTGCCAGGGTGTGCACAAAAAGAGCTATAGAAATACGTTCAACTTAGTATTTGCCATATGCCGTATGCCCTATGAAATCCAATAAGAATTCCAGTGCAATCCTATTATGAAACACTATATGGATCAGATTTATATTTAGAAACATTGGTTTATATAAATATGGCTAGTGATATGACCCAAAGCTGGCTTTTAACTGATATGCAGCAAACACTTGTAGCTCGATTTCTGGGTTTTTTTTGTTTTTGCTTTTTGTTAATTGATTATTTTTATTATAGATATAGTTTTTACCACGCTAGTATTTTTTGTATTTGTTATTTATTTGGCAATTGATTGCATTTGGCTCTCGGATTTAAAGTTCAAAGCGCGCGCCACGCAATTGTGTGGAAGCAACAAGTCTCGCACGAGCTGCTCAATTTTTGCTTCCGCAGTGACCGACGTTTGGAATGCGACTGGCGGCTGGCATAGACGCACACTATCGATCACTGCTGCGCAGTCGACGTCGCGATTAGCAACATCAACTACTTATGTATGCTTGCCCAAAAGTCTGCGCCGGCAGAGCAGTCGCCTCAGCAGCAGCAGGTGTATGCTAGTGTGTTTGTGTGTGTGTGTGTGTGTCTGAGCTGAGCTTGTTGTGCTCATATGTTAATTGCTCGGAGGGCTTTACGGGTCGAGGCAGCTGCTGGGCCGCTGTCGCTGCGCTGCGTTATGCTGCTGACTGCACATAAAAAGCTGCAAGCAACAGCGTTTTATTTATTTACTGTTTTCCTTTATTTCTATACGCTTTTAACCATATTCGTTTTGTTTGCATGCCAAAGAGCTTGGCGCGCAAGCTTCGATAACGTTTTGATAAATCGATAACAATCGGTGCTTGCAGCCAAGAGTTGCTCTCTTTCTCTCTCGCGCAAGGCTTTCAATGTCAAGGTTGTTGTTGTCGTTGTTGTTATTGTTGCTGTTGTTGTTGTTTTTGCGTAACTTTAAGTTAATCTTTATTGCTTGACATTGATGATGCACTCGCTGGACATCGTTCAGGGTTATGACACGAAACTGCACAAAGTAAAACAATAACAATAACAAAAATAACAACAACCAGCCAAAATTGCACCCGGCAATGCACGTCAGCAGCTTAAAACTGATTGCAAATGATTTCAACTTGTAAAAAAAAAAAAAAAACACACAAAATTGATTAACTTGTGATTGGCATGTGCTTGTGTGTGTGTGTGTTTGTGTGTGTGTGTGTAATTCAAATTAAAAACAAACGGCGAAGAACACGCAACTTTCGCAGCCAGCAGAGGTTTTTTAAAAGTCATAAACAAACTTCCAGTAAAAAAAACTGATAAGAATCGAAAAATCTTACGATTTTTGTCGATCAAGCACGGCGGTAACCATGGCAACTGCCGGCTATGATTAATACAATATTTACGTTTTTGGTAAACATTTAACGGTTTAAAGTATTACCAAATCCAAGGCGTTACGGCTCTTATCAGCACTGACGGAAAAATTTGTTTGAGCTGAATTATTCATGTTGGGCGCGTGGCCAACTTTCGGATTATCAGTGGCCGGCAGACGCGTGTGTCGTAGCGTTCGGAACGTCTGCTTCTGATACGCCATAAACATTCACACACGCACACACAGATTCATATATGTATATATATATATTTGCGCTCTTATCAGCAGCTCAGAGCTTGTACAGTTTAATACGCGACGTCACTGCCAAACGTTCGAGCTGTCAACTCGAATTACACTAACACACACACACACACGCACACATTGCATATGCAATTTAACTATTAAGTAATTGAAGCCGGCTCGCTGTGACTGCTTTTCAAAGAATCGTCTCGAAACCCACCCACAACAATTTCGCCGAAACATACACAAGCAAACATAAACACACACACACACATACAAGCATAAAGGCACACCAACATAGTATCATGCGGACATCGCGCGATATGCGAGTCCAATAGAAATCAAGGTCAGGCCAAGCGGCGAGAGCAAGAGAGAGCGAGAGAGAACGAGTGAGCACGCGCAGAGCAGAGTAAGAGAATGCAAACATATTGAACAAATTATGCTTCCCAGCACTTTCATACTTGTAAAGGCATTAAATTAACAACAAATTAATACACAAGCAGACACACACACGTACACTCAACTAGAAGCACCGTTATTTGAATGTTGATTTATGCAAGTGCTTGTGCCTGAGGTGAATAACCCGTGTTTTGGCCCCAGAGTACCAAGAATTAAGAAACTAATGCATTTGCATATGTGCATATTTATGTATGAAAAGTCATTAATCGCACATTAATTACGCACTTGGCGGTAACTAAAACGCGCCAGCTGGCCATTGACTTACTCTTCTCCATTGTATTGCGTTTTGCACGCCTCTTTTTGTTAGCAATTTTGTTTTATATAAATATATTAGTCCGGCCACAAAGTATGTTTTTGTCCAATTGGGTTCTGTTTGTGGGTGGTTTTTAGCTCGGTTATGCTATTGAAAGCCGACGCACTCCGCACAATTAATTAAACGTGCTTCGCACTACACTTTTTCAGCGATTTACGTATGTGACAGTTATGTTAATACACATATTTTGCAATTCTTTGCTGGCTCATCAGTGGTTTTATACGCGTTAATATGAATCCGATTCTGTTAAGGCTGCGAAAGATAACGATTATCGATAGTTGGCACACCGATAGCAACAAGTGTTGCAAAACACCAATGCGCGCTGCCAACTTGCGGCTACAACAAGGTGGCAGCACGTACAGCCGACAACAACATCTGCAACATTTGCTGCGAAAGAAGCCGCGTTTTTGCTTGTTTTGCGAAATAATTAAAGAAAACACAACATGTTCGATGTGGAGCCAATCATTGCGGACCACAAGGATGTCATACATGATGTAGTGTTCGATTACTATGGACGCCGCATGGCCACTTGCTCCAGCGATCAAACCGTAAAGGTAAAAAGCAAAAAATTGCAAATTCCCTACAGCCGTAAAAATGTGATGCCGATTGTTTGCAGATATGGGACGAAGACGAGCAGGGCAAGTGGTCTGTGACAAGCAGCTGGAAAGCGCATTCCGGTTCCATTTGGCGTGTGTCCTGGGCAAATCCCGAGTTTGGTCAGGTCATAGCTACCTGCTCTTTCGATCGCACTGCCTCCGTTTGGGAGGAAATCATGGGTGAAAAGGCATCCACAACGAATGCACCGACACGACGCTGGGTGCGTCGCACAACGCTCGTCGATTCACGCACAAGCGTTACGGATGTGGAGTTTGCGCCAAAATATCTGGGCCTGCTGCTGGCCACCGCCTCCGCAGACGGCATCATCCGCATCTACGAGGCGCCGGATATCATGAATTTGTCACAGTGGCCCGTGCAGCATGAAATATCAAATAAATTGTCGCTCAGCTGCCTGTCATGGAACACATCTACATATATGGTGACCCAGTTGCTTGCGGTGAGTTCTCCCAATTCTCCAAAGATGTCCTGAGTAAAGTTTAACGTTTTTCCCCTCGCAGGCCGGCAGCGATGAGTCTGCCACGCCCACGGGCAAAGTGTTTATATTTGCGTATAGCGAAAATGCGCGCAAATGTGTAAAAATCGAGACTGTCAATGATATAACCGATCCCGTGACGGATGTGGCATTTGCACCGAACGCTGGACGCACATTTCACATGCTCGCCGTTGCCAGCAAGGATCTCTACATAGTGAACATACGCGGCGTCACGTAGGTGTCCGGCCAATTCATATATGTAGCCATATGTAATGCTAGTTTAAACCACATTTCAGCGATTCGACGGGCAATGCCAAATTGGAGCTGCAAACGCATAAGTTTAGCGAGCACAACTGCCCCGTTTGGCGTGTCTGCTGGAACATGCTGGCCACTATGCTAATCTCCACCGGTGACGATGGTTGCGTGCGCATTTGGCGCATGAACTACACACGTCAATGGATATGCGCCGCTGTGCTCAAAGCCGAGGGCAGCGGACCCACATATGAGCCAAATCCGGCGACGCCGGCGCTGGCAACAACCGCCGCGGCCACGGCAAAGTTCTACAAAAAAGGCACCATTGGCAACCAGGTGCCATGGCACTAAGATATCTATATATAAGAAGTATGTGTACATGTTTATGTGTGGAAATTGTTGCCCAATGTTAAAAAATATATATAATAGAAAGAGAGAGAGAGAAAACTGTAAGCTGAAATTGTAGACCCGATTGTGCACTTACGCCCTGTGCATCGGCATCGTCTGCACATCTTGTTAGCTCCTTGGCCCAGCGCCAACGTCAGCGTCAGTCTCCGGGTCCACATCTATATTGACCGCGCAGCGTAACTTCACATCTTGCGGCACAGAGCACAGAATCGCATTACATCACAGTGGCAAACGTATCCGAGAGCAGTTTGGGAGAGGGTAAAGGGTGTGCGGCACGCTTAATTTAATATTGTATGCGATATATAAAGACCGGCAGGGAAAAACGACATTTGTTGATTTTGAACAACACTCGAAATAATCAAAACAATTTTCATGCTCACGCGCAGCGATAAACCACAAAAAAGTAATCGAATTTGTTTGATTGTATGCCAAATATTATGGATGTGTGTGTGTGCGTGTGTGAGAGATCTGATAATTGTATTCATTTGAGCATTAGTATGTGTCATTTCTATGACATGTGTGTGTGTGTGTATCACATGTATTTGAAATAAAACAACGCCAGCTGAGACAAGTGCTGCCCATATTGTAGAAAGTATATAAAAAAAGAATATATTGAAAGCACTTTTTGTAACGGATCTGTTTTTAAATATGGCGTTGGCTCGTGATTTAAAAACGCCTTTCAAGCAAGGTGCAAAATTCAATAAATCGTAATACTTATTTTTATTGCAAAAAATTGAAAAAATATGCTATTTATTTCCTGCAGGCGATTGGACAAATAGTCCAAAAACATAGATTTTAACTTTTGGTGACTAATTCGGGAGACTTTAAACTCAATTTGAGACACGAATTTCATGGTAGTATAGTTATATTTAAGCTATTCCGATGTCGGGAAATGTATCAATAAATGAAAACTAGACAAAAAACTAAAGAAGACACTTGAAGAAACTTCATATATAACGACGACAATATCTCTAAACTGTTACAATTTCTCAAAACTTTCAAAACTTTTAGTTTGCTAAAATATAGTTTTTATGATGCGTTTAAATTAAATCAATGCTCTTCAAATAAGGTATAAAAATTTCTTCAATTTGAGTTGTTTTCTGATTAGTTGACAATTTCCAAAGGTTTTCTCTGAATAATTTCAAGCAGATTTCGCTTGGCGCTAAATTAAAATCCACACTCTACGATCTAATGTAGGCCTTCTTCAATATTTTATTTAATGTTCGAGCTGCTTCAAAGATTCCCCTGTCGATGCTTTTAAATAGATAATAGATCGAGAACATAAATAACGATTATGCACAAATAGTCAGCGATGCATTAAGATCGTATAAAACGACACGAAAAGGGGCACAAAATGTGATTTAGATATTTGTGCTGTGCTTCACATGTGCATAAATTTATGATTTTGGCCACAGCTGTGCCAAAACAAAACAAAATAAAAGAGGAAATATGCCAAAATTGTGGCCAAATCGATTAACTCGATGGATTTGCTGCGTATATGGAAATTTCTGACAGGTTAAACACGAAAAACCATTTGAAAGAATCACATAATATTCCACTTAATTGACTCGAACCGCAATAAAAATAAAATAAAAACCAAAAACCAGTCAACAAACAATACAGTTCCCATATGTAATTGTGTCCAACCACCCCGCGCTGCGCTGCTCCTGTTGCTGCCTCGAACGTAATCCAAGAAATGCAACCGAATTCTGCTTGTGCCAAGGTTTTTGTAGGCAAATCCCAGCAAAATCAACCCCTAATTCATAAGCATATACTTCATATGATTCTATCCCGTAGCCGAATGATTGTCTCTAATTGGAAGTTTTGACGTGTATATTACGTGTTGGTGTTGACGCTGATCTCTGCGCTGCGGTACCACCCCTTCGGCCCCGAGCTGGTTGATTTTGGGCATAATGCAAAATCAGTCGCCAGGACGAATCCAACTACAGAACAGAGCCCATTTTGGGGTGGCATTTCGCGTGGGAAGTCAAGGCGTTCAGCTCTCTCACATATCATACGCTGCGGCCCAGCCCTGGTAACGCGATAAATATTGAAAACATTTATGTTTAACCGGCAAAGTTAAATTAATGCGCAGAAGATTGTTTCATTTCAATGCCAAAAAAAAAACATTGTACACAGGACAGGGCTTCCCTTAGGGGTTGTTGTTGGTACGGAAACGCTTATTAAATATATTTGGAGTAGAACTTTGCTTGCCAAAAGTAAATACAGTTTTGGTAAGCGTGGAAGAGATACTTGAAAACTTGTTAGCTGATATAATTTAATTACATAATTTATTTTGATTTAGTTTTCAGAGAAGAACCCTCCAAGTGACCCAGTTAACAAGCTGGTTGCTGGTTCGAACTTGGGCCTTTCTTTTTGGCCAATAATTTGATGACATTTAACTGAAATATCACATATCTCACGTATATATATATATATCTTTTCTTCTGCTTATTCTATGGGAAATTGCATTAGAATTTCGGGTAAAAAAATCAAGAGCCTTTTAATGGGAATACTTTCCAGATGATGCAAACAAATTTGTTATGGAAGAAAACTAAATAAAAACTTAATTTTAGGCCTATTTTAAGCTTAATTAATATTTATTGCGTAAGCAATAAAGATATATTACTTAAGTGATATATGTTTATTAATATATACATATATATATATATAATTCAATAAAATAGGAAACATTTCTTTTTTTATGCCTTAACCTATATGGAGGTTTATAACAATTATTCCTCAGCACACTTTAGGCTTAATAAATAATAAGCAACTTTGATTATTGAACTTTACTTAATTTATTTTCAGATTTTTGGACATACCTCTCAGTTCCTTAGAGTCCTTTATATTCTAAAATGTGCTGAACTGACTTCAGGTAGTTCTGTGTCTTGTTTTATTTATTTTTTATTTATTTTGTCTAAGCTAGCCAGTCGGGCATATAGATTATGTTTTCGGTTTTGTATTGCCTGCTCGGGGGGTTATTGCTGCGCTACCCTTGACACCTTGCCTGGCCTGTTCCTAATTATGTACAGAAAATGCAGCAGCCGTCGGCTTAACTAATTCGTTGGGTTTTCGTTTACGTTTTTGTTTTTAGTTAGCGCTTTGTCGTTATGCAAATTTCAGACTGGTAAACCACAAAAAACAGACACACAAATATGCGATGACCCCCAAACGTGGAAGGGTTGGAACCTGGGCTTGACCAACGGTCAGCGGAAGCGGCGGGTCGTGCACGGTGGCCGCAGCTTATTAGTCGCGATTATGTGTTCCAGTTCAATGGGTTAGCAGGAATATGACCAAAGATTTACATATCTATTTGGTAATTTAACAAATGATAATTATTGAATTTTAAATACAACAAGATTTCCTTGTGGCTTCTCTCAGCTCACTATGCTACATACAAACTTATCGCTCTTCATTCACAGAAAGAAAAACGGAGGCAAAGAAGCTAGAAATTGATCGCAGCCAGTTTTTTGTATAACTATAATCGTATTACTAATATTAAACACGGAGCCAGAGATCAAGAAGAGCAGTGTAAGAAAGACTGGGAGAGAGAATGAGTAAATAAGAGTGAGACAGTGAGTGAGAGAGAAGTGAAAGAGCGAGCGTGAGATATAGGGAGATAGAGAAAGAGAGAGAGAGAGAAAAATAGAGAAAGAAGTGGTTAAAGCCTACTCTACTTAAAATCATGAAAATCGCATAGAAAGGCCATCATCGAACAGATGAGACCTTGAGTGAGAAATTCCGCGCGGAGATATGATGTTCCAAAACGACAGAACTCGGAAATTTTAGATGTAGGTGCTCCTAGTGCCTGCGCGGATCGAGTTTGTTTCCGATAATCGATAACATACTCCGTTTCCAAGCAATCGATAAAAATCGAAATCGATATCGTGTTTTTGGGCAATTTTGGTAAATAAAGGCTAGAGTCACCAAACTTGACATATAGTTTCTTAAATAGAATATATATCTGCATTTGATATTGGAAGAAGAGGATTCCGGGTATCCCCTAGTCGGGAGCTCCCGACTAGAACCTCTTACTTGTTCATTACAAAAATATTATCTTTATTTACAGTATTATTATTTACAGGCTTATAAAATGCTTTCAAAATTTGTGCGGATGCTTCGTAGAAAATGTGGAAAAAGTTTAACTTATCCTAAGCATTTAGACAATATACACTGTGGACATGGAACTCGGTTAGAGATCGTTTGATCCTTCACAACTTAAGACTATCACACATGTTCGGCTTTGATCTGACTAGAACGGGTTGCATTAGCCGGACAGATACTCTGTCACCTAGTAGGCCATCTCTGCGCCCCAGGGCCGATACGGCTTGGCGCCATTCGCCGTGGCATATTGCAGAGCCGTCGCATTGTTGTAATCCTGGCTGCCGCTGACCGGATACGGATGAGGCGCCGCGATATAGCTGAGACTCTCCGCCGTGATGGCCGGCACCACGTTGCGATTGTGGCTATTGGTCAGCTCAATGTAGGTGGGCACCTGTTGCGACTGCGCCTGCGGCTGCTCCGCAATCCCGCTGTGCTCCTGCGTATAATGTTGTCCAGCCTGCTGCTGCTGTTGCTGCTGCTGTTGTTGTTGTTGTTGTTGAGGTTGTTGTTGTTGCTGCTGTTGCTGCTGCTGTGTGGCTGTCTCCGCGCGCGGCTCCAGCGGCCCAATGCCCGCGGGAAGCGTCTCACTGGCGCCCGCTCCGCTCGTGCTGGACACACTGGAGCGGCCGACATGATAGGCGCCCGTGCTGGGCGCACTGTATGAGCTGGCCGTGGCATAGCTCTGATAGGGCGCGGCTGCACAGCTGGGCTGATAGCCGCCGCTGGCGGAGATCTCGCGCTGCTGCGCAAAGTACTGCAGGTGAGACATGAGGCGCAGACGCAACGGATCCTGGATGTCCATGCCCTCGATGGTGACCAGATAGCGTGCCACCTCGGCGGCGCACTCCCGAAAGCCAATGATGTGATAGTCCATGGCCACGCGCTGCGGATCGTAGCTGAGCGAATCCAGGGCTGCAACAACAACAATTGAAGGGCAAAAAGTCAATAACAATAACTCAAATAGTTGTTCCCACGCGGTTGCCTATCAAATACAATAACAAAAAACTACCCCCTGCGCCGGGCCCGAACAAGAATGGGTGGGTCGGGTTGTGCTGCACTTGGTGTAAAAAGCGGGCGGACGGACGGACGAACGGACGGGCGGGTGCTGGTGGTGGATCGGGCTGTAAGTGCAGCCGGGCAGTGAGCAGCGTGGGAAGTGCCGAGATTCGGTATTCACTCGCTCGCCCGCTTTCCCTATTGGGATAAACCCTTGGGTCAACAGGTTTGACATTGTTTAGCCAGCTTTATGATAATATGACACATATTTTGTGCTACTTATAAGGCATATGTTTTCCCATGGCTAGTCAAAATAGCAGCTAATTTTTTTTATCGTTTAATATTACAATTTTCCCAGAAATGGTTAATCTTGGCTGGAGATTCAGAAAAGATTCCGAATACAAGTGCACGAAGCTGTTAGGCTTTATAAATCGAAATATTCCTACTAATCCTTTGCTTTTTGGCTAATTCAGCAATTATCTTCTTTTTAATGTGTTCGTTCAATTTTTGTTTGAATTCAATTTCTTGCTCTAATCCAATAGAGATTATTATTTGTATTTTAAGGATATGGCATAGAATAAACTATAAACTAAACTTTTTAAAATTGCATTGACTAAGACTTGGGATTACATTCAAACACCTGTCTGAGGATGTGAACCTGTTTTCTTCTTGCTTGAAAAATAGATAAGTTATCTAGAAGACTGCCGAGTATAAGATATTAAAAAATATTCAACTTAAATTCCTTAAACTATTCACTTTCACTTAAGCCTAAATCCTTTAAGTTAATAATTTTCACTTCGTATAATTCTTCCTAATTAATACCAAATCTCACACAAATCACTTTCTAAACTTCTTTCTAAATGAAATTCAAACTGAACTTCTCTAGTTAATACTTACTTTTTGATTGTAAATTCTTCAAGTGCTCGACTGTTAATTGTAGAATCTCCGCCTTCTCCAGCTTGGCGGAGCCCTGTTTCTCGTAGGCCGAAGGCACCAGACGCTTCAGCTCGGTCAGCGAGGAGTTGATGCGATCGCGACGCTTCTTCTCGATGACGCCGCGGCGCTTCTTGCGGCTCATCAGCTGGCAGCTGCCCGTGCCGCTGGGCGAGATTCTGTCGAGAGAGAAGAGAGTAGAGAGAATCTTTAGCTTATACTGAAAATAACAAATTTCCATTCACGCATACGCACTGCTCTTTGGAGGACTCCTCCGAGTAGAGCTCATCGCAGTCGCTCTCGGAGAGCGCACGCTTCAGACTATTGTGCGAATGATGGCTCTGATGACTCTGGTGGCTCTGGTGGCTGTGGCTCTGCGGCGGCGGCACCCAATGGCTTTGGGGCGTGGCCGGCATCGACGCGGCGGCGGCGCCGTAGCCCCAATGATGCAGCGGCGGCGCATTCACGTGCATGTTGTGCTCCATTCCGAATGTAAATAGGTTTTGTTTGAGTTTGTTTTTGGGTTTGGTTTGGGTTCGGGCTTGCTCTTGGCCTTATTGCTGGCAATTATATCCGTTTGACAATTATCTTTGTCTGTTATCACTTTGTATCTATTTTAGCACATTGAACTTTTGGGCACAAGAACTTGTCAATTTTTCTGGAGCTAGTTGTGAGCACGTGACTTATCGTGTGCGCGAACGGCGTTCGACTGATTTTACAGCACACGACTAGCGGACGTTCAGGCCGCCGTTTGCCCGGCCTCTCAACCCCTTTTTGCCGGCGGCAGCAGCAGCAGCAGCAGCAGCAGCAGCGGCCCAATAAGACGCAGCAGCAACCACCCCCTTGGCAACAGGAGCGCGTGCCGCAACGCCGCTTGCACCGGCTGGGGGTAGCTAACGGCCAGGCCAGGCCAGGCTAGGCTAGGCCAGTGCCCAGTGGCTGTTCCTGCCGATCAGCGTCGGGCAGAGACCAACAAATGAACAAGGACGAGAGCAAACGTTGCCTCTGCTGCTCCTGACTGGTGCGAGCGGGAGGGAAGTCAGTAGGTTGACACATTCGCTCTTGCAGCATATTGTTATACCCATTAAAAATACCAAGAAACGGGCATAATGAATTCATCTCCATGTATGCAACAAGCAAGGGCAGGCAATTTCCAGCCACTAGAGCATAAATGAGCTCTTCGTTCAGATATATATCCGTCTGTCTACCTGTCTCAGAGACTTTGGATTATATAAATGTCGAGTTTCATTCTATGATAAGTTCATAAATAATTTTTAAAGCTTTATCAAAATCGATAAAAATCGAGGTTAATTAATTTTTAATAATAACCTCCAATAAACGATATTTATCGATTTTCATTCAATCATCATACACAACGTTAAAATCGATATTGCGCTTATATTCTTTTGCTCTGGATTATTTTGAGATACAAATTACGCATGTTTGATTTATCAACTCGTCTAGTCTAAAATTTGGTATATAGGGTATCTGCTAGTCGCGCCTGTAGCTCGCACACATTTTGGCCAAGTGCAATGCAAATGAAAAACCTCAATAATTATTATTAGTTTGAGCTCAACGCAAACGCCTCCTTGTGTCATCGATGCCGATTGTATCAGGAGCAGGAGCAGGAGCAGGAGCCGGATCCGGACTTGTGGCAGCAGCGGCAGCATCGGCGCCGTGGGCGGTGGACGCCGTTTGCCACAGCTTGTCGCATTGTCTTTTTGGCGGCCACTTGCCGCCGTTTGCCGCCGTCGTCGCCGTCGCAGTCGCCGCCGTGTTGACTTGTTGCCGGGCGCACTGGCAACTGGAGCACGCGACCGAGCTGCGAGCCGAACAGCCGCCGGCTCGTGTGCGGCATGTGGCATGCGGCTCCAACAAGTGCAACGCCCCGCCCAGCCTCGCTCCGGCGCCGCCTGTTTGCTTTGTGCGACCCGCATTTTGTAGGTCAGTGGTCTAATTTTTGCTTTCAAGGTTATTTTGGAGCAGGTGCCGCAACGGCGTTGACCTCTGACCTACCCAATGCCACACAATTGATTTCTCTCATCCTTGCAGGAGTCCAGCATAAAGATGAAGGTCAATTTCCGGGCTGACACAAGACAAGTTATTCAATGGGCCTTAAAGAGACTTCAATATTACTTATTTTAATACCCTGAACCCATTAAAAATGGGTATAAGGGTATATTGTATTTGTGCAAAATCCAAATGTATGTAACAGGCAGAAGGAAGCATCTTCGACCCCATAAAGTATATATATTCTTGATCAGCATCAATAGCCGAGTCGATCTAGCCATGTCCGTCTGTCTCTCCGTCCGTCCGTCCGTATGTATGAACGCAAGGATTTCAAAACATATAATAGCTATAGGCTTGTAATTTTAGATGTAGGTGCTCCTAGTGCCTGCGCGGATCGAGTTTGTTTTCGATAATCGATAACTTACTCCGTTTCCAAGCAATCGATATCGATATCCTGTTTTTTGGCCAATTTTGCTAAATAATAAGAGCTAGAGTCACTAAAATATTATATATTGATTATATATGATTTTTATATTATATATCATTTTTTTTTTAATATCTTGGGTAATATCTCCGCGAGGAGATATGACGTTCCAAAACGACATAACTCCGCGCGTTTTGGAACGACATAACTTCGCGCGGAGATATGACGTTCCAAAACGACATAGCTCCGCGCGGAGATATGACGTTCCAAAACGACATAACGCCGCGAGGAGATATGACGTTCCAAAACAACATAACTCCGCGCGGAGATATGACGCTCCAAAACGACATAACTCCGCGAGGAGATATGACGTTCCAAAACGACATAACTCCGCGAGGAGATATGACGTTCCAAAACGACATAACTTCGCGCGGAGATATGACGTTCCAAAACGACATAACTTCGCGCGGAGATATGACGTTCCAAAACGACATAACGCCGCGAGGAGATATGACGTTCCAAAACGACATAACTCCGCGAGGAGATATGACGTTCCAAAACGACATAACTCCGCGAGGAGATATGACGTTCCAAAACGACATAACTCCCCGCGGAGATATGACGTTCCAAAACGACATAGCTCCGCGAGGAGATATGACGTTCCAAAATGACATAACTCCGCGAAGAGATTTGACGTTCCAAAACGACATAACTGCGCGCCGAGATATGACGTTCCAAAACGACATAAGTCTGCGCGGAGATATGACGTTCCAAAACGACATAGCTCCCCGCGGAGATATGACGTTCCAAAACGACATAGCTCCGCGAGGAGATATGACGTTCCAAAACGACATAGCTCCGCGAGGAGATATGACGTTCCAAAACGACATAACTCCGCGAGGAGATATGACGTTCCAAAACGACATAGCTCCGCGAGGAGATATGACGTTCCAAAACGACATAACTCCCCGAGGACATATGACGTTCCAAAACGACATAACTTCGCGCGGAGATATGACGTTCCAAAACGACATAACTCCGCGCGGAGATATGACGTTCCGAAACGACATAACTTCGCGCGGTGATATGACGTTCCAAAACGACATAACTCCGCGAGGAGATATGACGTTCCAAAACGACATAGCTCCGCGAGGAGATATGACGTTCCAAAACGACATAACTCCCCGCGGAGATATGACGTTCCAAAACGACATAACTCCGCGAGGAGATATGACGTTCCAAAACGACATAACTCCGCGCGGAGATATGACGTTCCAAAACGACATAACTCCGCGCGGAGATATGACGTTCCAAAACGACATAACTTCGCGCGGAGATATTACCTTCCGAATGATTACGTTATAACTCGTGCGGAACATATATATTTTAGATGTAGGTGGCTGCGCGGATCGAGTTTTGTTTCCGATAATCGATAGCTTACTCCGTTTCCAAGCAATCGATACAAATCGATATCCTGTATTTTGGGCAATTTTGGTAAATAGTAAGAGCTAGAGTCACGAAACATGATATGTTGCTTCTAAAATAGAATATATATATGCATTTGATGTTGGACGAAGAGAACAGAGAAAGAGAACATCTGTGCCAAGGCTTAATGAGAATGGTTTTGAAGCAGAAAGCTCAAGAAAACATCTAATTTCTTTATCAATAATAATAATTAATAATAGATAATAATAAATAAAAATAAATAAAATCCCCAATAAGGTTATGTTAAGGCCTTTGGATGCATAGTATGAATATATTCATATATTTTTATGTGTATAGGTATATATTTATTATATTTATTTCACCCATAAAAGCATATAGGCACTATAGAAACTTCGAATAAATATAATTGCACGAAAAAAAACACAACAATTTAAAATGAAGCAATTATTTGGCCAATTTCTTAAGTGCACAACATGGCGTATGCTTGATATTTGCTTAGGAGGACTCCAACCTGATGGGATATCGATTTCATGTGCCGCATTAAAATGAAGAAAAGTGCTTTTAATTCGCTTCGACATGCTGTCGCTCAGGTTGCCAAAAGCCAAGGAAGAAGCAAAGTACAATCAAGTAAAAATTTCGAGTGGGCGAGCCTCAGTTGTTGTTGTTGTTGTTGTAGTTGTTGCTGTAGTTGTTGTTGGACAAGGCGCGTGGGACAGCTCGAACAACAAATAGTTGTTGGCAACAACTCACCCTTAAAGCTGGACGAAATGCCGAGCGAGCGCCGAGCAACCCCACCGAGTGAGAAAATGGCTCGTGGGAAAGCCAAAGGTTCGACGATTCTCACGCATGTTCAGCACGTGCGGGTCGTGCGACTGTCTACAACAACAACAACAACAACAACAGCAACAACAACAACAATTGAGGAGAAAAAAAGCGCCGACCAAATCGTTTGAAGTGCATTTAATGCACGTCGGCCAAAACGAGCGACGCTCCTTGTATTTCATTTTAATGCTCTTTGCAAAGAGTATCTACACTCTATCACTGAACGTGTAACACGGCAAATCAGACAGCTGCAAGGGTCTAGTGTATGTCTATAAACATATATATATATATGTTCTTGATTAATCTGAAATAGTTGTCCTTCAGTTCAGGTCCTTTCCTTAAGCTTCAGTTCGATTATCCTTTTTGCTGCAAAATTTTTCAATAATTAATCAAAATAAATTTCTACATAAAATCTATGTTATTTTTATCAAATAATAATTAAGACTTTCCAAAAAAAAAATATTGCTTTTAATAGAGCAATAGAGGAAAAGAAAATGCTTCGGTTCAGTTTTAGGTTTGGCTTTCTTTTAGCTAGCTAATCCCTGTAAGCGTTCTGTTCAGGGTAACTAAAAAGTCATATATTATGTATATATATTATATAAATGCAGCATATCCCAATATAACTTAATATATAAAGTATCTAACAGGGAACTACTCACATCAGAACACTTTACGATATAGCTCTCCTTTATTTTTGTTCATAAAAATGTACTTGTCATCTCTGCAAGGGTATTCAGACTTCGTCATTCCATTTTCTCCACATTTTGACTGTTGTTTTTTTAA